ATTATCGACAACTAAATCGACTAATCGACTAAATCGAAAATTGACGCTAGAAGTATCGACAACTAAATCGACTAAATCGACTAATCGAAAAATTAAAAGTGCAAGGAACAGAGAAAGTTTGGTAATATAATAAAAAAAACACAATCACTAATAAAATCATTTCAAGTCTTTAAAAATACACAAAACTTCTATTTTTGTACTATATAATAAAAAAACACGAGCTTCTATTTTACTAAAATAAAAATCATTCATCGTCTCTAAAAATACACTGTTATAAATACATAACATTTCTATTTTTCTAACATGATAAAAATATAAAGTCTCTATTTGTATATTTTACGAATAAATCGTTCTCTGGAAATACAAATAAATTACAAATAAATTTCTATAAATTTCTATTTTTTGTAATATAATGAAAAAGCACAAGCGCTTCTATTTGTATATTTCAATTAATAATCATTCGTTCATCGTCTAGAAACACGCTGTCATAAATATGCAAAATTTCCATGAAAAATTATAGTTGTAATGTTGAAGAAAAACAACTATCCCTAACCTAAACCTAACCTATACCTGAGGAATTGATTTCCTGGCATGATAATGTAACAGGAAATTGCTTATAGGTTGGAAACTACAGCGGATCAGAGAAGTCTTGGTACATTTAGTTTTCTTACAATACTTTTGTAAACAAACGAAATCATACGAATAAATAGTATTCACTAGATACAAAAGTGAGTCACAACGGGATTGTTTTGTAATTTTTCCATTAAACACTGAAAGTGTAATTATTAACTTCTTTGACCTTCGAACTTTTATATTTCTTGCATTATTATCGCGTAGCGTTATTACTTAAGAACAATTGCTATTGTTCAAATCCACTATAGTGGACAATTTATGAAAACAAATTCTTTTCGAATCCACCGAATTTTCGCGCATTTGTGGGAAAGTGCAAATAATTGCATATTTGGAAATATATGTGAAACATCCAAAGTAAATAATTTATTATAATTTATTATTATTCAATCGATTTAGATTCTATCTCTTCAATCATGTTTCTGGCTGCGTTAAACAAAGCTTAATAAAAATCCGCAGTGCTGTAATTATCCTGTCATTCAGAAGATGAGGCTGCTTTGCACGTCGGTGCTGTTGTTGCTGTCGACGATTGCCAGTTTGCAAGCTTACGAGAAATTGAAGAGCATCTACTCGTGGAAAGCGTTGGACTTTGCATTTCCAAACGAGTATGCTAGACTTACGGCCATTAATAACGGTGTTTTCATACCTGGCTCGCCACTGCCCATCGACGTTGACGTTCACAATGAAGGTAACAAAAGGGACACACGTTGGTATTCTGTAGTTTCGAAATTTTTTCACTTAGAAAGAAGATCAAAAAAAAAAAAAAAAAAAAAAATAGTCAGTCGTATCGTGTAAGAAAATTCAGACGAATTTGTTATCGTTTCAAGAGCACAAATCGACGGTGTTCATGGCCATTCCAAGATTTCAGAACGGCGTACCCGTGACCTTGGGCTATGTCACCAATCAGACGTCACCGGATGGAAACCCCCTAATCACGCCGTACCCGAATTGGACTTACAACGATGCAAATAATTGTG